GTCTTCTGGACATCTGTCAAGTCAGCAGTCTTCCCCATGATTGTATAGCCTACTGACCCAGACTGAGAGACCATTTAAAGGCTCAGGAAACCTTTGCAGGTGTTTTGAGGTAATTAGCTGATTAGGGTGTGACACCATGACTTTCCAATATTGAACTTTTCACAATATTCAAATTTTCTGAGAGACTGAATTTTGGGTTTTCATTATCTGTAAGCCGTAATCATCACAATTTCAAGAAATAAAGGCTTGAAATATTTCACTCTATGTGTAATGAATCTACATAATATATGGGTTTCACTTTCTGAAATGAGTGACAAAAAATATTGACCTTTTTCATGATATTCAAATTTTTTGAGATGTACCTGTACAATACTGTATTGGTCCGACACAGTAGTATAAATCAGTCTTAAATATCCCTCATTCGGAGTAGTTGCTGATATATTTTCAGACTGACAGGAGCCCTCATTCTTCATCTTTTATAGTGTGTGGCATGAAATGTTTATTAGATAGTCAAAGACTTGTTTAAAATGCATATTTGCTGACAGAGCTGGGTAGATTACTTGTAATTTGAAATCAGTAATGAACTACAATTTGTATGACAAAAATTAGTTTAGTAATTGTTAGTTTGTAACATAATCCATTACATTACACATTTTAGGTTAATATAATTGGACTACTTTTAACCCAACTCGTTTATCAGATAGATTTCAATAGGATACTCTTCGTTTTGAGGTAATTAGCTGATTAGGGTGTGACACCATGACTTTCCAATATTGAACTTTTCACAATATTCAAATTTTCTGAGAGACTGAATTTTGGGTTTTCATTATCTGTAAGCCGTAATCATCACAATTTCAAGAAATAAAGGCTTGAAATATTTCACTCTATGTGTAATGAATCTACATAATATATGGGTTTCACTTTCTGAAATGAGTGACAAAAAATATTGACCTTTTTCATGATATTCAAATTTTTTGAGATGTACCTGTACAATACTGTATTGGTCCGACACAGTAGTATAAATCAGTCTTAAATATCCCTCATTCGGAGTAGTTGCTGATATATTTTCAGACTGACAGGAGCCCTCATTCTTCATCTTTTATAGTGTGTGGCATGAAATGTTTATTAGATAGTCAAAGACTTGTTTAAAATGCATATTTGCTGACAGAGCTGGGTAGATTACTTGTAATTTGAAATCAGTAATGAACTACAATTTGTATGACAAAAATTTGTTTAGTAATTGTTAGTTTGTAACATAATCCATTACATTACACATTTTAGGTTAATATAATTGGACTACTTTTAACCCAACTCGTTTATCAGATAGATTTCAATAGGATACTCTTCTACCATATTGATATAAAAATACAAAGAGTAAGAAAATATCCATTCATTCTTTCGTTTACACGGATGAGTCGTCCTGGTCCCTTTGCAGAAAAACAGCCCCAAAGCATGATGTTTCCACCCCCATGCTTCACAGTAGGTATGGTGTTCTTTGGATGCAACTCAGCATTCTTTCTCCTCCAAACATGACAAGTTGAGTTTTTGCTACAAAGTTCTATTTTGGTTTCATCTGACCATATGACATTCTCCCAATCCTCTTCTGGATCATCCAAATGCTCTCTAGCAAACTTCAGACGGGCCTGGTGCAGGTCTACAATTTTGTTTCTGGTGTCCTTTGACAGCTCTTTGGTCTTGGCCATGGTAGAGTTTGGAGTGTGACTGTTTGAGGTTGTGGACAGGTGTCTTTTATACTGATAACGAGTTCAAACAGATGCCATTAATACAGGTAACCAGTGGAGGACAGAGGAGCCTCTTAAAGAAGAAGTTACAGGTCTGTGAGAGCCAGAAATCTTGCTTGTTTGTAGGTGACCAAATACTTATTTTACCGAGGAATTTACCAATTAATTCTTTAAAAATCCTACAATGTGATTTTCTGGATTTTTTTTTCTCATTTTGTCTCTCATAGTTGAGGTATACCTATGATGAAAATTACAGGCCTCTCTCATCTTTTTAAGTGGGAGAACTTGCACAATTGGTGGCTGACTAAATACTTTTTTGCCCCACTGTATTCCATTCGTTATCATTAACAACATTAAGTGCATTAAACATTACATCAAGGTTTCCTAAACTGGGGTTCATGAAGGAACTGCAGGGGGTTTGTGAGTTTAAGCTAATAATTAATGAACTCATAAAAATGTAAAATTAAAATAAATAGTTTGAAAATAACAATCAAAATAAAGCACTAAAACATGAAATATTTTATTTGTTTACCTGCATGTCATGTGTCCATTAAGCAACATCAGAGAACCGTGAACATTCAAATGTGATACTTTATTATGAAAATATTTATTTTAAAATCTCAAGGGTACTTCAAGAAAATATATTAGGTGAAAGAGGTTCAGATGACAAAAGTTTGCGAATGCCTGCATTACATGTAAATAAGAAATAGCATGACTTCGTGCATGTTAATGTGTTTGAAAAACAAAAGCCTCCCAATTACACATGACTCAGTTGGTTTTTAACCATGTATTACTAATTCAAATAAAAATGAATGTGTTCAGCACTGATGCAACATTGAAACCCTTCTTATAAACCTGAAATGATTTTTGTAAATCCAGTGGTCAAACGCTGACTAACTAAAACCTGAAGACTTTCTGAATTTTAGGCTATTTTAGAAAGGAACATTTAAAAGATAAAAAATGAAGAATTGAGGAGAATCAATAAATTATGAATAATCCATTGCTATTGTGTGAATGATATATAATCATGTAATCAATAAAAAAAGTACCTGAAGTCTGATTACCAGTATTTTTAAAATGTAATTTAATCTAATTACAAGTACTTAATTTCTGGTATCCGATTACATGTAAACAGTTTCTACCCAGCTCTGTTTGCTGAATGCCTGTTAATTATTAGATATAATTTTACTGCAAAACAAATTCACCTGCGGATATAAATAAAGTAACCTAACCCTTAATCAAAGAGTAAACTAATGATGATAAATGAAGAACAGGAGCTGTGTGTCTGCATCTCAGCCCTATAAAAATAAAAGTCCCGCTTACAACACTTAGCAGCCAAACAGAAAAACTTATCGTCCCATACTGATCATAAAAAAATGGCAAATATCGGTTGAGAATATCGGCTCTGGTAATATATATCAGTCGTCCACTACTTGGAATGTGGATGATTACAGCATTGGCTGTTAAACTAGTGGTCAAACCTTCATGGCTGCCTGTGTAGAGACTCCAGGAGAAGAGGGCAGATGGGATCTTCTGCTTGACCTGCTGCAAGCTCATGACTTTACCCATCTCAATCTTCTCTGGCCTGAAACAACAACAGTCATGGCTCATCATCACATGCCCAGTGTCACTTAACACACACTGCTGTGGTCCATGACACTCACAGTTTGTAGGGCAGGAAAGGTAGAGAGAGCGAGCGAAGGCTGGCCTGGTATACGTCTTTCCCCCCATTCAAAAAATGTCCCCGCCATACCGTAAAACAGCGCCTGCCTATCACAACAACGAAAGCAAAGGAAGAGTTCACTCAGAGATTTAAATTCTGTCAGAGTTATTTGACCTCATGTCCTTCCAAACCAGCATTCTGTTATTTTTTAAGGAGAATTTGAAGAATTGTTTTCAATACAATGAGAGTTCAGTGATCATGGCTCCACAAAGGACTACTAGGAACTACTTTATTGTGCTTTTAAACACTTGCCAGACAATATAAGCTGTTGTAGTATAGAAAAGAGATCTGACGATTCTTTCCAAAAATGCTTTTGTGCACCACAGAAAACACTGGTGAGCCGTTCCTCTCATAACCAAAAAAATGCTGTTTTACTGAATAAAGTTATGCCCACCTTTGCTCGTCCCTGATGGCTGGCTGTTGGACCTGAGGAACATAGAAAAATGTAATAAAATCAATTTTAATGGAAGAGTTTTGTGAGTCACATGACTGAGAGTGAAGGAGAGCAGTCAGATACCTGAGAGGAGGCAGCGGTTTGGGGGCCACAGTTGACGCCTCTTTGCCTTTAAAGTAAAAAGAGACCACCGCATACGGACACACGTGTCTCGGCCTGGACGAAACCTCGAAATCCACATACTCGTAGAAGTATTGCTGTGAAGAAAGACCCTTTAGCCATCTCACAGGAAACACATGTTCATTTGATCAAATGTTTTTATTCATAGAGAGTTGTTTTACTCTGGTTTATTTGAATGACTTATTTTACCTGAGTGTACTCGAATGCCCTGTACGACTGTAAGGACGTCACTCTGGTTGAGTTCTTGGAGAAGTGGCTGTCAAATTTAGGTGTAGGATCCATACTTATGGACATACAGTCATGTACACTCTTCACTTTACCCTGGGGGGAAAAAGACCGGACATTTCTCAGACTCAACGACACTGATGTTTCACATGAAAACAACATCACTCAAGCTGCTGCTGTACCTTCATAACTTTAAATATGATGATGTTTCCTGTAGACCCAGGCTCGATGGGGCCGATTTGAAGTAAATCAGAAAACTGACACAGGTAAACTCCTGCAACATCAACATAATCAGCATTCACTGGATGCACTACACTACATCTCTCTTTAAAATAAAATAAAAATAAAGTTTGTTCTTTAAAAAATACTTCTCATGCTATTATCATACTTCAAAGCTTTCCTAATATTGAAAGCAAAAACCAATCATAAAGAATATATGTAGACGCAATATCCTCGTACAATGGAGAGGCTGGAACGCGTTCAATTATCATACTTCAAAGCTTTCCTAATATTGAAAGCAAAAACCAATCATAAAGAATATATGTAGACGCAATATCCTCGTACAATGGAGAGGCTGGAACGCGTTCAATTATCATACTTCAAAGCTTTCCTAATATTGAAAGCAAAAACCAATCATAAAGAATATATGTAGACGCAATATCCTCGTACAATGGAGAGGCTGGAACGCGTTCAATGATTAATTAAACAATGAGCTCACATAGCTCTGAAACTCAAACAATAAATGCGTTTTGACGCTGTTTTATGTGGCGTGACTGATCACTGTACAGGCGCCTCAGTTAATTTCTTTACTACTAGTTACAGCACGAAATAAACATCTCATGTAATCACTCAATCAGTGTTTCAACCATGGAAAGATGACAATAATACATATTTTTTACGTTACAATGACCTTAGGAAGGCCATTCAATGTCTAAAACTCATCAGTCAGCTAGGAGAAAAAAAAACTCTAGAGGAGCATTTAGCTAAATATATGCACTATATTACATATTCATTACATTTTTACTCAACCTGTTGTCTTCATTAATTACAAAATGTTTGAATAAATTGTCCATTAAAAGAACATTTTTATTTACAACTAGCATTTAAACGTTTACATTTCAACATCATAAGTATTCATTTTATGAGAAGTTTATAATTACACTGAACAAAATTATAAACGCAACACTTTTGTTTTTGCCCCCATTTTTCATGAGCTGAACTCAAAGATCTAAGACTTTTTCTATGTACACAAAAGGCCTATTTCTCTAAAATATAGTTCACAAATCTGTCTAAATCTGCGTAAGTGAGCACTTCTCCTTTGCCGAGATAATCCATCTACCTCACAGGTGTGGCATATCAAGATGCTGATTAGACAGCATGATTATTGCACAGGTGTGTCTTAGGCTGGCCACAATAAAAGGCCACTCTAAAATGTGCAGTTTTACTGTATTGGGGAGTCCGGGGGGATCCAAAAACCAGTCAGTATCTGGTGTGACCACCATTTGCCTCACGCAGTGCAACACAACTCCTTTGCATAGAGTTGATCAGGTTGTTGATTGTGGCCTGTGGAATGGTGGTCCACTCCTCTTCAATGGCTGTGCGAAGTTGCTGGATATTGGCAGGAACTGGAACA